ATAGAAGTGAAAGAGCTTATATTTATTAACAGTTCAACTTAGGTGTTAAATGAATACATGAAACCAACAATATGATATGATACAACGGCAGGTATATGCACAGTAAGAATCCTGGACAGATAGATTTTAGGAACCATACACTATTAAAAATACAATCCACCCTTCTTATAAATTTGAATGATCATTAATTAACATTAGCCAAGTGGAACTATGTGCATCTTTCAAACTCGGATTACAATCATTCTGAAAGTAACCGGTTATGATTTGATGCTTTCTTGTAATTTCAATTTAATTAGTTTAGTTTAATAATTGTCAACCAGTTATAGCTACTGACGAAATATTGATAATAGACAAGAAAAATTATGAAACAAGAGACTTAGTTCATAGTGCCCTAAATAGGTATCCATGGCATCGATATTTTCCATCTAATTGCCCCGTTTAGAAATAATCCTCCTTAAAGATCCTGTAAAAGAAAATGGGTTGATACCCAGTTGACACAACCATCTAGAAGACTGGTCACATATACTCCCGAAAGATAACTGTTTGAAACCTGGTAAATGTAACCGGGTGAATATTTTTTTATTTCTCAACTACGAAATATTTGTTTAGTACCTCATATTCACCACCTTTTGGCAATACTAAACATCAGTCAACCGCCTAAACATGCTAGTAAATGAAGCAACAAGTGATCTAGTCAGTATAGGTCGATTGAGTCGTTACAATACACAAACCTGATCATATAGAATCTACAGTTAGAAAGATCCATAAATCATAGTGAAGATGAACATGAAATCAGCACAAATTCGCATTCAGTAGAATACCACCAACTAGAAAATGTTAAGAAATTACCATATTGTTTCTGGCGCCAACTTCAGACACACAATTAGTGTTACAAACAATCCCATTACGGGCTTGTACGATAGCATGTATTGACTTGATTATGAAAGAACGCAAGCATCTATAAAAACGAAACAAAACAAAGCAGAACTAGTACAAAAGGTCTGAATATTTATAAAGGGAAATAAGCCTAAAGCACACATCGAATGTGCTAACCGAAGCTTTAATATAAAACGACAATTAAAAGCTTACTTTGTGAAACCAAATTAACAAAACTCACTTTAAGCAAGAGTGAATGAGAGGTTACACGAAATGAACTCTAGTTTGGAGTCACCAAAGTCCTCGATTTTCAATCATAACCAACAGGAGAGGTACTAAAGACATTAAAGTTCGAAAACTTATCCAGTCAACGAATGAAACGAACAGTGCCTAATGGATAACTGTTTGAGAACGGCAACAAACGGTCCTTTCATGAAAAGTTCTAGATGCATTAGCTCCATATTTACAAGTCCTTACAAACAACGATGTACATTAGTGGGAATAAGAGACGCTACTTCGAAGCCGGTCATTTCAGTGTGAGAAACGATATCTTACCAGAAGTACTTATCATTGATTTGTGTGTGGGATGGGATACTGCCGAGGTGTCCGAATCGAAGCACGTGGTTTCTGTAGGGAGCAATACGCTGGGCCTTTGACCTAAAAGTCTAATCCACAAGGCAGTAAAGTGACGTTAGCAGATGCAGTCCCATGGCGACTGTGACCAACAATGGTTTCATGCACCATTTGTTCTCTCAGGACCGTGGAGTTCATGTGCACGGTTGGTTTGGAATCAGGATGTTGCAACTCCCTTAAGTGGGTCTTCCGTACTCACTTACCCGGTTAAAGCGCCATATATTCATTCTTGTCCTTTCTATTTTGTAAACGACAACCACGTTGCGAGAAATCAATGAGTAGAAATTCACTTGTAGTGTCTGTATATGCGTGGTCATGTGGGAGCACTTCGAGAGGAAAAGCGGACCCTCCCCATTCTCGACATTTGGGGGCTGTTACATGTTACTTCAATGCTAATTTTCATCACAAATGTGGTTGTAAGCAGCTGATGAGAAACCATGAAATAAAATGAATTCATATTATTCTGCACCAATGTTCGTTCTGGCATTATTCATATTCATAAAGGGAACCAATTGAATGAAATTTCCAGAGGGTCGCCTCCTTGTTCATGTTTTAAAGCCACCCAACTAGTTAGTGATAATCTGTTGCAGGATATCGAGAGAAACAACGAGATTAGAGTTGTTTGGCCAGTGCTTGCATTATGGATGCTTTCCTCGTCAATTTATTAAAGCTGTACGTACATGTAAAATACCTTCTTCATCAAAAAATTTACGGCGTGTCACAAAATCCCAATTCGAATGCACCAAGGAACGTATCTCTAAACTTAAAACGTTTGTCAAAGCTTTTAACAAAATTGTTAATAATTTAAATATAATATGTCGAATCAAACTCCCGAATTTCATCTATAACATTCAGTCAAAAACCAGCCGCAAATTTATAGAGTTTAACCAAAAACTTGTAAATCATGACGTCTTTCCTATCAATCCAGAAAAGTACATACAGAATTTATCTAGTAAAAATCTAAGTCGAATTGAAATAGAAACACTCTCCCCTGGATTTAAATTTCATATTCCGAAAAAAATATGACAGAATCGACACCGAAACGCAATTCGAGTATTTATATCAAGTTGTCAGACCCCAAACCTATGAATGATGAAAAACGAAATGAGTGGATATTACAAATCAGTACGTTACAACACCAGTTCCACAATCTAAGGTGTTGATTAAAGATCATCAGCAAGCACTTAGACAACTTATGAAAGACGACACAATAATGCTACTTCGACCAGACAGGGGTTCCCAGTGTAGTCTTCCTAAACAGAAACGAATACATTAGCAAAGTAATGTCCATTTTAAACGATTCCTCGAGACTTATCATTGAAAGACCTGACAGATGCGATTGAGAAGCACCTTTTAAAAAGGTTGAGAGAACTCTTGAAGAGAAATTTAATCGATAACTCTACACACAATGAACTCAAACCGAAAGGATCACAATTACCTTACTTGTACGGTTTACCCAAAATACACAAACCTAACATCCCGATGAGGCCAGTACTATCTATGACCAAATCGCCATTCAATAAACTCGTCCGCTGGCTGACTAAGTGCTTAGGACCAGTCCACGAGAAAGTAGCTCTCTACAGTCTGAAGGATAGTTTCAAATTTGTACAAAAGCATGACAGCTTAAATGCTTCCGATAAATTATAGTATCGTTTGATGTCTCATCTCTCTTCACAAAGATCCCTTTGTAAGAAACGGCAAATATCATATGTGAACATCCTGAACTCTTTCCTTTGCCAATCAACGAATTCAAACAGCTCCTGTTCTTGTGTACTAAAAATATACAATTCCAAATAAAAATGTGTTGTACAACCAAATTGATGGAGTAGCAATCAGTAGACTTCTCGGTCCAATTCCAGCTGATGTATATGCACTCTATTTTTTTCTATGATTTAAATCAATTGATTTTCATATCACATCTTACCTCAACACTTACTTCCATTACACATATAATTGTAAGCATTTGATAAGAAACCACGAAATATAATGAATTCATATTATTGTGCAACAATGTTTGTTATGGCCTTATTCAGACATATGTGAAAAGCGGATGTAATAAACGAATTTACCCATCACTATTTCTTTTCCTTACTTCCAATTATGCTCTTGTCGACGTAACGTTTACTCGAAGTTTGATTCTTTTCATGTTTTTTTAATTTCTAGTAGCCGTTTCTTCTTTTGTTTCTTTACGTATAATACAGTCGGAGATTCCCGATTCCTAATTACACAGTTCTATGAGGTTTTATGAGGGGTTAATGAATAATTAATCAACAATATATTTGAAAAGTCCCAAATGTAACTCACTGAACAAGTACAAGTTTATGTATTTAATTGTTAACCACAGTTTGTATCTAGGTTAACCGATTATTCTGATCCCTTAAATCAAAGTAGGTGGAGCGGAGGTTAAAACTGCGGCTTATTAATTGGAAGTCGATTAACTTTAGCAATAACATGTTAAGGACAGGTCAAACAATTTTGTGAGTCAGTATTCTGGAATTTTATAACCGTATATTTTAGATTATTTCAACCTTTTTATGCTAAAATAACCGGTTGAAACATATTGTCCACAGTTTTCAATGACGAAACGAAATTACTAAATATTAGGAACTTTCAGGCTTGAAGTTCGTTCCAGACAACACAGTTTGACAATTAAAAGGTAGTAAATAACACAAAAATCGTCAGTACACAATTAGAGAACTATAAAAGTGACTATTCGCTTTTTATAGGCTTTTAACGAATAGGTGGCACAGTTTCGAACCCAACTACTGTTACCACCAATCGAGTAATGTTACCAAGCTACACAAAAGATTTGTGACTTAAAGGTAAGAATATAAACATGTAATTGGTAGATGAATTACCTTATCTGTTTGGGAAATGAATGATTTTCACAAAAAGTAAATAATAATGACTAGAAAAGACTAAAACTTATCTTATTAAAATGATAACTTTAACTTACTTTTCAATTGCAAGTTTTTCTTCATGTCTCGGGGGTAAATTGACCATTTAGTCTACAAAATACATGCACGGTTGAAGATAATATCACATGAAAGTAATAAAAAACAACAAAATGACTTTAATAAATTTTTATTTATTAAAGGACCAGACTACATAATAGTGCTAAACAAGGAAATACGATAATAATAGTAATAGTGGTAATACTATTACTTCGAAAATAATCTGATATAAGCTTACGTAAAAAGTAAGATCACAAGACAAACTCCGGAAAATCATACCAGCAAAGTTTGCATCGGTAAAATAAAAAACTACTGGTCAATAAAAAAAAAAATAATAAGCAACTACCTTTTAAACTGAAAGATATGTATCAAACATAATTTAATCAATGAGTATATAAAAATAATAAGGTGAGAAGAAGCATTGCACAGTGGTTGTAATTACAATGCTTAAAAGGTAACAGGTAGAAATATTGGAAGCCAAATGATTCCATAACAAATGGAAAGATATCAGATTATCAACAACAACAAAAAAGTTATCTATTCAGTAGAAGGTTTAAAAGTTATGGTTGTTAAAGCCACATCCTGAAAGTCATATGCAGCGGTTAGGTGAAATCCCATATTAGCAATTGCGATACCATATTCACTAGCTGAAAACCAACTAAATGCTTAAAACAAATAAACAAATATAATATCAACATGGTTATGGGTAATTTAAAATAAAATGACGAATAACTAGTAAAATACGAGTGAATTAATACAAATGAATACAATTTGGCAAATTTAGCTTACTAATTACTACACATTTATGAATAGTAACTGATATTAACAACGGTAGTCTATTTGGACTGGTATCGATCGGTTCACCACGACTCCCTGGCTGGATTTCTGAAGATGATGCAACTTGGTATCTTAAGATATTATCAGACATGGTTGAAAATAGGAACCAATTGTAGTTCCGCTGTAGTTTTCCTCTGAAATCTCCATAAAAGTGAGAACATTAACTAGAAGAATCCTCCCTTACTGTATTTTACAACTGATTTACTTCTGATATCATCAACTATTCTCGTTCACTTATTTCGCTCTTCTCTATCTCTTCAAAACTTCATTTTCGTACTATGTGATGCATATTTTATTTATTATTTATTTATTTGAACACATACATGTTGGTATAAGAGTGCGCCAATATATATGCGCCACACAAAACAATGATAATTCGAAGAGGAAAAAAAGGTAAGGAGGGCAAAAAAAGAATAAGGAAGAGATTGGTGTAAGGTAGTGTAATAATAATGGTGGTAATAATGGGGTAAACGGAAAGGTACAATCAGAAGAAATCATTCAGTTAAGGAAGAAACAACCATTTTTTATGAAGAAAGTAAAAGAAGGTTACAGCAGGATCGCCACTGGCTTCTATTCTGAGCCATATCTGATAACGTCTCTAGCCACTATGTAGCACCATCTCTCAGACCCCAAACAGGGAGTCGTGAAGGACCAACAGAAGCCAGTCCTTTTCAGCTTTCTTTCATACCACGACACTGACCACCTCTCCGCTTCTTCCAACCAGTCCCAGGGTCGGCAAATAATGCGCGACGTGGAATTCTCTGGGACGTTATTCGTAGAACATGTCCAAGCCACCGAAGTCGGTGTTTCAAGATGGTGACACCGATTGCATTATCGTCTCCGTGCCCGAACACACGATGCTGAACCTCTGCATTACTAACATGGTGTTGCCACTGGATGTAAGCAATCCTTCGGAGACAACGATGATCAAACACATAGTTGTCTAACATCCTTAACTCGGAAAGGGCAGGTTTCACAAGCACAGAGCAAAACTGCTCTCACCGACGCGTTGTAAATCCGACCTTTTACAGCCAGACTGACATCACGAAGGCGCCAAAGGTGGCCCAGATTGGCATAAGCCGCTCTGGCTTTCACTATACGTGCATTGATCTCATCACTCACACCCTCACCAGCACTTATGCAGCTACCTAGATACACGAACTTCTCGACTACGTCTATCTGCTCACCATCCAGGGTGAGTACAGGATTGGAATCCTGCCAGTCTTGTAGAAGTACTTTGCACTTCGAAGGTGCAAAGCACATACCATACCTACGGACACTGATTGCCAACTGATTAAGTGTGGATTGCATGCCTTGGGCATTATCGCACAGTAGGACAATATCGTCCGCATACTCAAGGTCGAGAAGTCTTTCTCCAGGCAACAGATCCACACCGCCATTACTTACATTCATCAGAGCTGTTTCCAGAATGTCATCGATGGCAAAGTTGAAGAGGAATGGTGAGATCGGGCAATCTGTCGGGGCATAGGCGGAGATGACGAAAAGACATCGTTTCTCACGCCGATTTCTTCTCACTTTGATGGAACTCTCTAATCTAACAGCACATAAACGACTGTTAATGGGGATCCAATCGACTAGTGCTGCCTCAGCCCTAACGCTCAGTGCGACACCAACGCCAGCAAGACCAGACGAAGATGCCACAGGGTCCCCGGATAAGCGCACGTAAAACAAGCTTTTCGAAGCGACAGATGGAGAGCGAATTTATAGTACTTCACCAAAGTCTTGAATACGGGTCTCGGATAGACAGCAAACATCGATATTAAGACTTCCCAAAGACATAGCCAGCCCTATCTGTTGTCCAACCTATATAAGTGTGCGAACGTTGAAGGCAGCCAGTTTGAATGGTGCACGCGGTTTCAGAAAAACTGCTTCAGTACTCATATTCGGTGGTAACATACAATTTTCAACCGGACAGTGACTCGAGAACGTTTAGATACAGTCGAATTTCCACCATAGACGAGCTGCTGTATAAGTCGAAAAAATAAGTATAAACAGAGTGGGAATAAAAGTGGGTGAATAATGACGTAGTAAATAATAATAATTATTATCATTATTATTATTATTATAGTAATAATAATGCGAGTCACTTGATTGTTATTTGGAGCGAGAGGAATATTTTTCATAAATAGATAGTTTATCATGTTTTTGTGTGCGGGCCGAGATACTGTCCGAGTGCCCAAACCGAAGCAGGTGGTTTTCTTAGGGGGCTGTTAAGCCTAATGCTATCCTTGGACACGAAATGGTATCATCCTATTGGTCAATATTCATTTAACGTGTCATTTTCCTGTTGGCCAATATTGTACAATGTTATTTCTATTTTATGGTACGATGTTGATTGTTTGGTTGGTATATAAACAGAGCATGTTTGAAATATAACGATTCATATCTCCGAAGCTGAGACTTGTGTTCTGGACTCAACTGGCTGGGCTAGACAGGGAAGCGGGACCAATCAGAGCCCTAGGTCGTTCTTACGTGTTTGCGCGTCTTTGGTCCGATCGATAATTCGCTGTCTTCTAATCTGCTGCCGTCACAGTTATAGCAGAGGCCACACCCCGAGCCTTTGACCTAAAGGTCTAACCCACAAGGCAGTGGAGTATCGTGAGGAGATACGGTCCCATGGTAGCTGGTGACCAAGGAATTGGTTCATACGCCATTTGTTCCCGCAGGATACTGGAGCAAATGTGCACCATTGGTTTGGAATCCGGTTAAAGCGCCGGACATTCGCATTTCGTCCACTCATTTTTGTAAACACCCCCGCCACGAGAAGGCAGTGAGTAGAACTTCCATGGCAGAGGCTGTATACGCGTGGCCGTGTGAGGGTATTTCGAGAGGGAGGGCGAACCCACCCCGCTCTCAGACATACCAGGGCATTTGGAGGCGGTGCATATTTACTTCAGTGCCCATTTTTACCAACATTTATTTTCAAATTAACAAATAGATTGTTGATTACATCATTAGTATGAGTTAGTTGAAAGCGCTGATATCCATTTAAAACTCTTAACTAATCATTAACCAAGTACAAATCAAATGAACCAACGGATCGAGGGTAAAATACTACCCATCTCGAAACGCTCCCAAATGACCACGCATATACAGACACTACAAGTGAAGTCCAACTCAATGATTTCTCACAACGTGGGTGCTGTTTACAAAATAGAGAGGACAAGAATGAATGTATGGCGCTTTAACCGGGTTGGTGAGTACGGAATATCCATCTAAGGGAATTGCAACATACTGACTCCAAACCAATCGTGCACATGAACTCCACGATCCTGAGGGGACAAACGGCGCATGAAACCATTGTTGGTCACAGGTCACCATGATACTGCATCTCCCAACGTCGTTCCACTGCCTTGTGGATTAGACTCTTAGGTCAAAGGCCCAGCGTGTTGCTCCCTAAAGAAGCCACGTGCTTCGATTCGGACACCTTGGTAGTATCCCATCCCACAAATATATCCATGATAATTAAAATTGAACGTAATTTCTTTAACTGAAACAATTCTTCTTGTTGCATTTTTACTAACTGAACTGTTTTTCGCATTGTTATCATTATTATTACTTCACTTTCACACACAAATTTCTGATCGTTGTTCTTTTTGTTATACGCACTTTACGTTTTCTGTCTCTTCACAACCTCATTGTTATTGTGTAGCGCATATGTATTTTACTATTGTGTTCAAATAAATAAAATACTTAAGTAACTTAATACGATTAAGAGGCATAAACAGGTATAAACACAACGGATTTTGATCAAGATGGAAGCAGTTCAAGTTGCCACACCTGATATCAGTAAAGTAACCTCCAAGGACAGTGAAGAGGAATTGATGCTAGATGAAAAGTTATGAAATGTTAACCAAAGGTTGAAAACAGACATTACTGCTAATGACCATTATAAAAATAGACGGCAGATGAGATTTCCTTAGTTTATGGAGGAGCGGTCGTGATTCATCTCGCTCTCATCAAAACACGTCTGAACGTAGACAACGGAGAACATTTAGATATTTTATTCAAACAATACCAAGCGCCTTAAAGGTCTCTACAAACAACTAATTACATGAACTAAATGTTTATTTACCTTAAATATATTATCTAACATAGACAGCAACACCAAAAATATGACGTTCTTATGAGAAGACAAGAAAGTGACATTGTCAACAATATTATGAGCTACCTTAGTATTATTACTCGAAATCCAACGCTCAGACGATAATTTAGTTTCATGGTTATTGGAGAATTTTATGGTACAAAAATTATGAATTCATGCTACTTAGGAAGCGTGAAGTTTAGGACGCTGGCCAACAAGTTTCAGGATTCATTACGAACTTTTAAAATAATAATCCGTTTTTCACATCATGAACATTACCACATGGCAAAAATAGTCGAAACGTCAGTCAACTATACGCAACGTATATCCTAGTACACATGTGAATTGATCCAAGCTACTACACTACATTTGACAGCGCGATAAAACTATGAAGACAAACCCAAGGATAGTAACAGTGACGGCATCAATAATAGCCGAAAATATTAGGTATATATGGTATATTTACAAAGAATCACGATTATAAACCACTTATATAGCGAGTCATCGACTGAGACGAGTAAACCACAATAGGTTAAACAGACACTCATTTGGGATTTTATTTACAATTTAAAACAATTTCAGTAAGTTCTCATAAACTTAGTCCAGCATGAAATGTAGATACATACACTTCATAGAAATATGGCAACAAAATATGTACGAGTACCTGATATTTTGTAATTTTTAATTTATTGGATTAAGTTTGAAAATTACTTTCTAGTGGTGACAAGTAAGATAAAAATTGGACAGTTGTACAGATAAAAAACAAACTTACCGTTTGCCTTACAGGTAAACCTATGGTTGTAGAACTGGTGGACTAACAAGAGGATTAAGCAAACATCTAGTCCGAAAAACAGGGACTTCAGGTTAAAAGAATATTTGAACTGAAAATATTAGTATACGAGATACAAACACGTTACTCTCGGAGTGCAAGAAGTGATTCCTATTATCCAATGAACCACTAGAGTGACTATCATATAGGCAGTTGAAGCGATCAGGAAAACGATGAACAAATGTTCATGGAGAGCTACAAAATCTTTCATAACAAACAAGATAAAACATACGGTAATTCTCTTGGTTAGATACAAAAGCCACTCCCACAAACGAACCCACATCTAGAAGGTTGAGACAGAATGCAACAACAGTCAAAATTTTATAAATCAATGACTGGTTGAACATTTTGTGATAAGACATATGGTATCGAAGATATATAAACGCAAGGAGTAAACGTGGTGCACTATGCAGCCCAACTGTGTAGCGCCATAAATATATTTGAGGTTTTATCCCAGTGACAGCACTGATAGATGGAACAAAATTGGTTACCTACAAAGTAATTCTATGACTGCACCAATTACCCCACACACGGATTCCGTAACCTCATCGAAAGTATTGTATGTCGATACAAAGAAGCAAATAATTAGGCCAAACAACGGTAACGATACACCAGCTACTACAAATAAGGGAAATGGAATCCAAAGCAACCGATATAACCCTTTATTTTCACAAGCCATAACAACTGAAGCCTTCCCCTTACCTGAAGCGTACTGTCCGAATCTCGCGGTCTTGAATTTCGGGATCTAAAACATCCTAATTTCCCGAATACATTATGACACTCTAAAGTAACCTTGTGTGGTCGTTTATAATTGCGATCGATTAGCAAGAACAGATTTATGTATTTGTTTATATTCAGAGTAACCACATAAAGAGCGGCTTAGGAAGCTATACCACTTTAGTCTGTCCTTCTTCAGATTAAGAGGTGATTTGATTTTGATGTAAAAAACTATTTCGGACCTGGGTTATTCCCTCTTTTTCTGCCTATCAGATCGGGGCAACTTATAAGACACAGCAGGAGAGTACGAAAGCCAAGATCAAACAAAATATACGTGACTTGTAGGTTTTCACACCGAGTCATTAATTGTTTGGACCTGTTGCCAGAGAAATAGTATCCGTCTCCTCAATTGACTCATCTAAAGGAAAACTAGATGCCCTCAGCAGCTTACCATAAAAATAATAACACATGCTGTAGGCCTTCTTTGCTCAACATACAAATGTGTATCTAAAATCTTTCCAGCTAAAATTCCACTGATAACTTGAGACGAAACCTCGGCCGATATAATCTAAATGGTTCAAACATTCATAAGGAATACCTCACCTGCTTTGCTGAAATTCATGTCAAAATTGAGTTCAAATTAGACACTCAGCGGATCAGATTCAAATTTCCTTGGCAAAATAGGCAAACTTCTTGTGCTTTGGGATCTGTCATATTATTTTCTTATTTCTTCGGTTGCGGAAAGATAGGACTTTCCATATCCTTTCTATAAACTGATGGCAAACAATTTAGTTATTAACGGAAGTTAATGGGAAATATTACTAAGAGTAACCTCCCCTAGTGTAGGAAGTAATTTCCTACAGGTGTAATTCCGAACTATTCACTTGACTGTCGAGCACATCAGGACTTAAAAATTGTTCAAGGCTTTCTCACCATCGAAAAGTGGAGAAACAAAGCAGTGGGAGTGACAGATGCGGCTGGCCAATCTTCTAGTCGCCTTTTTTATATATTAGATAAAATTCAGGCCCGAATTTTTTAGTAGATACAGGAGCCAAAGTTAGCGTAATCCTTGTCACATAAGCTCGACAGTCACTAAATAAGAGTGATAAGTATCCACTAAGTGATGAAAATAAAACCGAAATGAAGAATTCCAGAGAGCAGCTATTTATTTAAGATCTAGGCTTCAATAAATGACGATTTCATCACTGTTGTTCGTAAATATTTAGAAACGATAAAGCATATTCAACGCGACGATAAGGTTAAACGCTCAATAATACATTATGATGGAATGAAAGAACGACCGACGAGGCCACGTACATAGAGACTAAAACTCGAAAAATTTGTGGAACGATTCGGCTCCTTAGTAGATCTTGAGAGTCTTCGCTACTTATGGTAGTGAAGAAAGGCAAAAATGGCGTAATTGTTATAGTTATAGGAGCCTGAGTGGTTCAAATGTTAATTTCAATCCAATTCTACCAACTGCCTTGGATCTCAGGAATTCTAAACCTGATATGGGTCGCCTAACTCTGTTGACTAGGACACCGTCACCTGCGGATATTTCAGTGTTCAGATCACAAACTGATGCTATACAGTTTTATCCAGGATAGAAGGACCGTGTTATTTGTATAACAAGAACAATGTTATTTGTCAGGTTAATAGTTTTTGTACTCTATTTTTATACCTGGAATCCATACTTTGACCCTTTTTTGCAGTCTGCAACTGAATATCTAGAAAATTAAAAGCCAAAGTTCTGAATTAACAATACTCTAGTTATAAGTAATAATTATAACAATAATTCTCATTACGAACATTCGATGTTTGAGTTTAAAGAACCAAAGTACTTAACGACAAACCATGCAAGACATAAACGAAAAATTTCAGTGTTCAGAACTAGAGTAAAACATACACCCGAAATTCAGTAAAATGGATGACATTCTCAATAATGGTCTATTGTAAACTAAATACTTTGAGACTACTTCATAATATCGCATAGTTTGTACATTTATCTTGCTTTTATATTGTTATATCTAGAGATTAGATCCTTAATAAACCGCGTAAAACCTGAGATTTCGAACGCTAGAACCCTCCAAGTCTCAAATAAAAAGACGGAAGACAGGTGAAAAGAATACTATCCCAAACTGTTGAATATGGTACAAAATTCTCAGGTATTTAAAGTTTGTAATAAAAATGAAATCACCATTACAGTCATCCAATCCGTATAAAGGTGATTTTTGGCATTTGTCCAAGAGGGGGGCTACATGTAGAGATGCTGGAATATCCTTCCAAAAGATGATTGGATGGAATATTTTCTGCTCCTTCTGAGCTTTTTGGAGCTTCTTAGAGTTCACCCGTGGGCCGTCCTCACATCTCTACCTTTAAAAGCCTCTCATGTAAGGCTTTTACCTCGGGTCCACCTGAAACTTGTTTACCGCATTCCTCTTATGGTCAATCACTCTTAAAGGTTGTGCCGTTTTGCTCTTTCGTATTTATATCTTCTACATTCGTTCTCCTTAGGGCACTTTTGCGATGAACCCACGAGCACTTGAAACAATAGTTGGCTTTGTGTGATAAATGTTCGGCCATCCCTTCAAACTTGACCTATGACTTATACGCGTCCCGACATTTCTCCAGACTACGTATAGTACATTTCCAATCCGACGTTCTGTAACCCCTGGTTTCCACTTCCTATTACCTTGACACGACTTGGCAAATACCCTTTCAATCACCTGTCAGCTGTGAGTGACCATCCGATACACACTTGTAGGTTTATTTGTCTTGCTGGGCGGCAACATACTGTGGTAGGCTGCCTGAACTTTCCTTCCAAACACACACTCAGCTGATGACTTACCTTCTGGCACTACCGGAGTGGGGGTAACTCTGTAAGACATTAAGAATTTGCTGATCACTTGTTCCAGCATACATTCTCTTCCTCCTTTAACCAGAGCTCTTTTATCCGTATACACAAATCTTGGCCATTCAACTGAGGATGGTGCAGGGGAGAGTGTAGATGCGATATGCCATTTTCACCACAAAACCGGCTAAAAGCAGATAGCATAAACTGAATGATATTTTCAGTCACCAATATCTCTGGAACCCCAAAACAAGCAAACAATCCTGACAACCTTTTTATTGTACTCTCTGACGTTGCGTTCGGCATGTCATATACTTCCGGCAATTTTGTGAAAGCATCTACAACAACCAAGTGATTTCTACCTTGTACTGGACCAGCGGAATCAGCGCGTATTCTTTGCCAGTATCCGTCCACTTTTGGCCATGGTTGTGGTTGTTTTAGTGGGATTGCTCGCGGCCTTTAGACAGGACAACGACTGCACCACTTTTTGTTCTATATCATGATCCATTGACGGCCAATATGTGTAGTGACTTTGTATTACTTATCATTGAGCGCCCGCTGTGGAACTGCTCGAGGAATCGGTGTCGAAGATCTCTGGGGACAACGATACGGTAGCCAAACATAATGCACGAATCGCCAATTGTCAAGGAATCCCGTCGACGAAAATATTTTAGGATCTCCCTTTGTTGTCTAGATGGAGACCACTTGTTAAGTATACAGTGGCAAACAATCTAGCTTTTTTAATGGCTTCAAATGTGACCAGCAGTCCGGAAACTGCGTATACCAACACTGTGTGAACCTAAGCCTCTCATCTACGGCAGCTACAGGCATCACTTCTTGTTTTGTTTGTGGACCAGTTAATCTTGAGAGAGCATCTGCCTATCTAAAATCTGTTATCGGTCGATACTTTATCAGTAAACCACAGCCCAGAAGTGTAGTTGTCCATCTCTGTAGACGGTTTGCTGTATATACAGGGATACCCTTCTTGGGTCCAAAAACTGTCAGTACCGGTTTATGGTCTGTTAATCAGGTAAACAGTTTGCCGAATACCATCTTGAGGAATCTTTTTGCAGCGAATATAACGGAGAGGGCTTCTTTCCCTGTATGACTATAGTTCGTTCCTGTCGTAGTCGGCGATCGTACAGCGTGAGCAAATGCTTTTTCGGATCCTTCAGGTTAGATATGTGAAATCACTGCTCCGATTCCGTAACTTGACACATCTATTGCGGCCACAACTGAAAGACCTGGAAGGTTTGATGATAGCAGCTGTTTTAGTTTTAGGAATGCTTCTTGGCATTCTGTTGACCAGATCCATTGGCAAAATAGTGGAATAGAAAATATGGATCTACCTTATACTCACTAAGATAATCTTGGGCTCTATTTGAATTTTCTGCCTGTGTAAACGTCATACCTGGGCAAACTGGTTCTCTGACTACTTCGGGTATACTTTCTATTTCATCTGGTTCATCATACCACTAACTGTAGATTCTATTTGACATACATTGGTTTTGAGAATATGCAACATCTGACACAATTACATCAAAAATGTGACTGGAATTCAACACATTCGGAACATATTTGTCACATTCATTAGGGATCACACTAGAGATAAACCCATTGTGGGTTCAAATAACATATAATGCGATTCCATAATGGTTGTAATCAGATTTCAACTTATTTAGAACTAGTTCCTCAAATTTAACCAAGATTTCATTATAAATAAATGAATCATTAGAACAAAACGCATCTGATACAATCACATCAGAATTCTGATCAGGATTTGGTAAACTCTATATATCTTCCACATAACTGCAAATAATTACATTAGAAATACTTGAACCATAAGAACGACACATTTCTGGTAAAAACATTATCATGAATCTGATCAGAGTATTATTCATTTGAAACATTCAACTTAATGAGATCAAAATTACAAAGTTTAGCATTAACTGCAGCGAAATGAATATTAGTTTCACAAATTGTCTGTGTATCCAATTTTACCACGTTTAAAGCATTTAGCATCACGAAATTATGATAATTAGGAACATGTGAATTATAGTATGAACTAAGAATTCCAAAAATAGCGCAACTGGATCAAGAAGTACTAACTA